GGAAAGACTTTTTACCATTTTTGACTTTTCAGAGTCAGTTAAATCTCTTTTTTGGCCCATTTTGCCTGAGGAAAAAAAGCTGCCTAATACTAATGCACACCTTGATATAGGGTGTTGATCTCCTTAGGCCACCCCCTCCCTCATTACACAAATACACATCACCTGATATGCTTATATCCAATAAGCATTCAGGTTTATACAGCTTGAAGGTAGAAAATATGCATAAAAACGATGATATGGTCAAAATACTCACTTGCCTAATAATTGTGCACACGGTGTAGTATTGGTTGCATCGCTCAGCATGCAGCACAACTCTTCTGTGGTATGTCCTCCACCCACAAGAAACTACTGCACAATGTATAATAACAGGTGTTCCATCAGAGGTTCAAAGCAAATTAAAGCCACAGGCATAAAAGAACTACTAGTTTATTATTAAAAAAAAAGATTTATGCAAATATATAAAATGAGTTAAGACAATTATAAAATAGGAGAGGAGACTGTAGAAAGAAAGATGGGACCATTCTCAGCGTAGGGGAAACCAAAACATGTTTTAAAAAGCAGATGGGCATATATGCCATGATTGTGCCAAGGACACATACGAGTGTTAAAATGTTCCCTAGGCTCAGGGTTGCCCATCTAATAGTTGTGGGGAAGAGGCCAAATTCAAGGGGGGGTTAAAAACACATTAAAAGACACGCAGACTTGACTGTCCATGAGCCTAAATCATACACTGTAGACTGTTTTGTCCCCAGAAGAACTGATGGAATTAGGCAGAAGCTTCTTATGCCGCTGGAGACAGGCAAGTCTCAAATGCAGAAAAATGTCCCACTTTGGAGGCTGAAGAACGTCTGTCCATCAGGTAGCACAAGTTAATCTTCTTGCAGCACTAAGACTTCAGACAAGTCTTGCACCCCCTGTAATTTCAGGTTCTGGAGACAAGTGGGAGGGGGAAGAAAAGAACCGAATGTCAGATTTCAAAACGACCCGCTCACATGCAAGTTTGCTCTCAGCATTGTCAAGGGCACGCCAGAAAAGGTTTCACCAATGGGCTAGCAAAGCCAAGAGATTAGGCTGAAAAGAATCCGTTCATCCCACCTGACTGTCATATTATTTGAATTACCGTGTGTATCGTACTCACCTTTTCATTCGCTAAGTGCAAGAGGCAAGCAAACGCCAATGGTACTGACAGGTTCTTTGCCACCACGGAAGGTAGACTATAAGACAGAACAAGAAGCAGAACTCAGGCCGAGAAGCAAGGAATCTTTTAATTTTTAGGGTTTGAAGAAAAAGAACCCTTTCTCCTCCTGGGTTTTCTAATTGCCCCCCACCAAAAAACCAGCCAGACTTGTTTAAGTAGAGACATCAAATAAACTGATGCATCGAATAATTCAAAGCATGTTTTAACAAGAAACAAGCCTCACCAGTGGCAAATGGGACTTCCTTTGGAATATAAATAGGACAGAACAGTGTTGTACATGGTTGAAGATAATCTTTTCATCTCCAGGACAAAAAGAAACAGCACGATTCTAAAAGGATTTCAAGTTCTACCCTTGAAAAGGATCCAGAATTTGCAATTGGTGCAAAATTTTTGAGGGACCGACTCTTCCCAATTACATCTGCCTATCCCTGCAGGTCAGGAGGAAGAGGTATGTTGCAGGTCCCGTCTGCTAAGGAGTTACACCTGGCGGGACTCAGGCGCCTTTTCTGCTGTGGCGCCTGCTCTGTGGAACATCATCCCCCTCGAGGTGAGACTGGCCCCATCCTTGATGTCCTTCTGGAAGTCCCTCAAAACCTGGCTAAATCAACAGCCTTGGAGGTCTCGGGAACATGACAATTTAATGAGGCGGCTACATTAACATCTAGTGCTCTCTCCTACATTTTAATAATGATATGTTTTTCAACTATGGAATGTTTTTAATACTGTTATTTCATGGTACGCTGCCCAGAGTCAAGTGTTGTGAGACGGGTGGCCATATAACTATGATAAATAAATAAATAAAATGCAGCATACAGGCTGCTAACTTGTGCGAGATTTTGCACTGTCTCAGCAACGTGGCCTACCATACTTTTAAATTTTGGTGATGACCTTTAGTGCCATAAAGAGGGGATCGCGTCTCCCACGATGAACCTGCCCAGTTATTTGATCAGCAGAAGAGGCCCTTTGGAAGATTCCCCTGCCACCCAAAACTCACTTTACTGCAAGGTGGAGGTGGCTTCTCCTGTGGGACGCCCAGGCTATGGAATGGTTTCCACAGAGAAGTGCACTTCTCCCACAATGCAGGAAAACAACAAAAACACATCTCTTTCACCAAGTTTTCACTGCTGATTGATCTGAATTCTATTGCTTTTAATGTGGATTCTACTGAATTTGCTATTGTGTAGTCACATTTTATACTTTGCTTTCTTATTATCAGCTGCCTTGAGTGCTTATATAAGCAGAAAGTTCAGGCATAACTGATTAAAGAAGCAAATCTAAAGAGCATCCCTCTTTCATGGCCAGGCTTATTATTCTTCTGCATCCAGAGGAAGTCAGCAGAGTCTTGCTCACAGCTGGCAAGGCTTGCTGATGAAATGAAAATTATTCACCAACCTGGGAACATACACAGAGAAAGAGCCAAAGGATACACATGGGTTAAATGTTTCCCTATGGTAGTTTGATTCCCTGTGGGTTGTCCTAAGCTCCGTGGGGAGGGCCTGTTGCAAGCAGTGGTTTACTACAGAGATGAGTGTATCTTCATCTCAGTTCATGGCATCTTGACAGAGTCTTGACCCTGAGAAATACCTGTGAAGGAGGTCCTTGGTGATGTTACTGAAGACCTTCTGGCTTGAGACCAATGAAGAGCTGACCGTTTTCTCTGTGCCTTCACTCTGCAGGGGGAACATTGAAATTAAACCAGTCAGATCATAAACCAGTGTTTCTCAAGCTTAGCCATTTTAAGATGTGTGGACTTCAACTCCCAGAATTCTCTCAGCCAGCATGCTGGCTAGGGAATTCTGGGAATTGGTCCACAAATCTTAGAATGGCTAAGCTTGAGAAACACTGTCATAAATCATCTAGACAGGACCTGTTGTGCTCTTATTTCTGTATAGGGTCTTACGTTATACTAGGCAAAATTATACACAAATGCTAAATATTACACATGCTGATACTAAAACAATAGATCAAGTATTTAAGAGTTGGGTATGTATCAGCTGAAAGCCAGCATGGTGTACTGGTTAAGGTATCAGGCTAGAAACCGGGAGACTTGCACGTTCTAGTCCAGCCTTAGGCACAAAACCAACTGGGTGAGTTTGGGGCCGTCACTCCTGAAAATGTTGCCAAGAAAACGGCAGGGTTAAGTCCAGGCAGTCTACCAGCCACTGTGAAAATATGCAAAGGCAGATGGCATTAAATTAAATGCAGCTGGGTCTCTGAATAAGGCTCTTTATGGGTCATAGAGATAGAGAGCCTCAAAGGTCTGGATCAAATGGTAGATTCAGGTAGTCCTCATTTAGTGACCATTCCCAGTTACAATGGTGATAAAAAAGTAACTTTACAACGAATCCTCATATTTACGACCTTTGCAGGTCTGTAAAATAAAGAAATGCTGAAGAAAGATCATAAGCATAGTTGCAATTTCACTTAACAAGCACTTCACTTAATAGCCAAAGTTGCCTGTCTTAATTGTGGTCACTAAACGAGGACTACCTGTAATGCTTTCTTGCTCTCATAAGAGCTGCATTTCAGGTCCTGGGCTGAGCACAAGAATACCGTTCAGTCAAGGCTTGCAATATCCTAAAGAAAGACCTTCAGCAATGAATGGGAAAGGTCAAATTATGACCCAGTGCAATCTTTTTTCAACCTTGGCAACATTAAGATGTGTAGACTTCAATTCCTAGAACTCCTCAGCCCGCATGTTGAAGTCCGCACATCTTAAAGTTGCCACGGTTGAAAAACACTGAGCTAGTGAGTCCATAGCTAGGTGCCGTGAAGCACTTAAGTGATGTGTGGAGGAAGGACCTCCCAGTGATATAAGAAAGTAATGGAAAAGAAAGTTTGAACAAGCAGCAGAGTTCTCAGTGACATGCTGCAAACTAAGTTAGCCAGGAAAGTAAATGGACTACACTCTTTCACACTAGAGATACTTGCAAATATTTTAATCCTGCCTACTGAAGCATGTAGGAGCAACCCTGTTTTTAGGATGCGCTCTTCCAAGCAAGGAAAAGCTTGCAGTTCTTCTTTATGCAACGCAGTAATTAAAAGTGTGCAGCTAATGCCTTAAGAAGCAGAGTTCAGAGAAACAAAAGTAATTTTCTAGCATCCTGAATATTACTCTGGTCTTCCCTGGGATTACCAGAACTGATTATGCATTAAAAAAAAAAACCTGAAGAATTAATGCAAAAATAGGCTTATTTCTAGATTATAGAAATCAGCTTTTCTTGATACGGAAATCTATGAGCACAGCATTCATACACCCTTGCAACATGAACATCGAATCTCTGTTGGGATCTCTGAATCAAGGTAAGCATATGGTTCCAAATGATGAATTAGAGTCTCACGAAGTCAACTAAGATGCCAAAGGCAGAACAACAACAACAAAAAAACCAGTTTTCCCTCGTGTGTACCTCTTCCCCAGTCTGATTCTTTGGGACATCTGTCAAGAGGAGCCACATGGTCTGCTTCAGCATCTTCATGTCCATCTTTTTGGCAGTTTTTGCATATTGAATGTCTATTTTGTTCACCTAGAATGCAAAGTTAGGCAGAGTTAGAAGAGCCACAATAACCCAAGACAAATCTGCAACCCTGCCTTTCAAAGCATCACCATTCCATACAACCTCCCAGAACGCCTTATTTAAAACAAATAAATCTGCTTCCTATAGGCATAAGAATAAGCATATAGAGTGAGAAAACTAATCTAGAACTAAGGTTTGAGTTAGTGCTTAGATTTTCTTGGCACAAAAAAACAAGAACCTCTCAGCCTGGCCGAGATGAGAACAATGCGGAATTCCAGAAGACATACTGTTAAGCAATGAAGATAGGGAAAGATATGCCATACCTTCCATTAACTCAGACCTAAATAAAGACACGTGATTGCCCTCTGCAAAGACTGTAAAAAGGAGCTATCAGCATGACACCAGGTCAAGTTGGCCCATATACAACGAACTCACCAGGAATGCAAGATAAAGCTGGGATTTATACATCAAAACTGCTTCTCTGTATGTTTTCTTATTTCAGAATAGGGAGCTTGGATCTGGTTCAATGACATTTATTATACTTCTACGGATAAGTCACAGGCTAGATCTTCAACCCATTGTCAGCTCATATTGTACATTATCCTTTCCCAACCTGGCACTTCCAGATACCGACTGGAAATTAGGACAGAGTTTTGGAGCTGTGCATTCCAAGCTAATACTTGCCTTCTGAGGCTCAGCCACCAGATTGGCTTCATGGTAGGTGGAGATGTTGAGTCCTTTGACATCTCCATCAAGTTCTGCATCCTGACTGTCTCCACCTGTAGGATTGGCTGTCATTTCAAACATCCCTCCCTCACCTATAAAGTCCAGAGGATCATTGTCATCATCACTGTCAGCATCCTGAACAGAAAGAAAGGGGAAAAAAATTCAGCATGAGTGCAGTCAAGTTTTAGAGTTCCACAATGTCTCTTCCTCAGCGATCTAAAAAAATTATAGCTGATGTGTCTTGGCTGATAAGGATGTCCCAAAGGAGGAGGATTCGACAGAAGTACAATAGGTGGAAGAGGACTTTTTAAAAAGAGATATCAAGATTTTTTTTTTTTTACTGCTGATGAATGTTTTGAGCATCAACAACTCTTCCTTCATCAAGCACTCCAACTTTGCTCCAATTTGCCTATTAGTAGATATTGTTATATGCACAGCCAAAAGGAACCCTTAGTGCAAGAACTAATAGATAGTGATTATTTTAACATTTGAAAATGTCTGACTTTCAAAAGCCTTCAGACCTGTAAGTTACATGTTCAGTTTTGTACTGAAAAATTGCACAACATTCTGTGAATCCTCCCTTTCAAGCTGCTGCAAGAGACCAGTGGTGCTTAACTTGCTGTTGGGTCAGACTCATAAAATAGTCAGGCTGACTGGACATCAAAAGAGGTAGAGTCCTACAAAACCTGGAAGTTCTCTGCTTTCCCATCCTGCCCTAAAATCACTTCTTCCATTGCAAAAATTGTGACAGGCCCTAAAGCAGATACTTCTGCTCGCTCAAGCCTTTAACAAGGAAGTAGCCAACCTGGTGCCTCTGAGCACCAAAATGACTACAAAGACTTCTCTTGGCATCCACTAGTCACCTGAATTTTTTCAAAAAAGATACTTTAATTTATAAACAAATAAAGTAAGAAGCTACCCTGGTACAAAGAAAAGTGCCGCCCTTTAGTGTGATGTTGATTTTCAAGAATGTGCTGTTGTTTCCCATATGGGTTGTATAGCCGTGAAGTGTGATTATTTCAAGTTCAAACCATTTCAAATCTGAAATGCCCTATTTCAAGTCCCAGACAGTTCTTAAGAACTTCAGATGGGCTGCCCTGGTCATTCCTTCTGAAACAGTTCCATGCCTTGATTTAGTTCAGAAGGAGACCCCACAAACAAAAATTGTAGCTGGAAATCATCTTGGAAGGGGAGCAGTGTACTTTCTGGTAAATGGCTGTTGTATCACTGAATACGCCACCTCCCCACCCCCACCATCCTGGCAGCCATTCTGTGAATAAACAACCCTTCCCCAATAGCAGACCCATAGATAGCTTTCAAAATTTCAAGTGTACTCTCTAGAGCAGTGTTTCTCAACCTTAGCAACCTTAGATGGGCGGACTTCAACTCCCAGAATTCCCCAGCCAGCATGCT